GTATATATAAAAAACCAGAATTATCGGCTGACCAATGTATCGGGCTACCCCCGTTAACACCACTACTGATGCGACAAGGGTCAGGGGGTTAGAGCCTAGAGCTGTGATGCGCAACCAACCATAACAGCGACATAACTACTGATGAAGTTATGTCAGAATATTGATGTGACAACCCATTTTTGTACTCTAATGAGCAGAACAACATAACAAGAGCAAAGGTCAGAGTAGTGTGTTAGCCTAGCCTACGTTAACCATTTAAAACCACGGTTTGGCTAACAAAATCCAAAAAAATAAATAAATAAATAAATAAATAAAGTCAAGAAGAATGAGATATTTTTATGACAGCGTCATCAGTCTTCTTCCTCCTCTCCAATGGTTCTGCTGGGTCTAACCCATATCTGAGGAATCACAGAAATTTACCCTGGAAAGGTGCTAAAAATGTAATTTGGTTAAATCACTGAGTGAGATCCACCACACAACATCCGCGCATAATCTAATCCGTTTCACTTGATTAATTCCATGTTATTTAATGTTCCGATCACCACACTGGGAACCCAAATACAGAAGAGCAGCAGAAATGCTTCTACACACTCCTGTTCTAAGAAAACAGTCTGTAACCCGCGGACGTTTCACATAACTCATCATTTACCAGGTTAAAATAATGCCAAACTGATGTTTTCTCTTGTTTTTTATGATGCTTCCTGAGCAAAAAAAAGGAATAATAATAACAGAAAAAACTGAGGATGGAGAACATAAAGACCGATGTAAATAGCGTTTGACCATGAAAACAATCAGTACTAAGATTTACATTTCAATTATAAAATATTTTCCAGCATTTTGGGAACAAAGAGAGGAGAAAACAACATGTTTAATTTAACTACGTATAACAAAACATTGTAAATATGATTTTATATGGTTCACAAACAAGACTTTAAAGAGTCCTTCCAGTTCGAGTCGTCCGTCTGAGCTGAGCCACATCCAGACAGACTGGATTCAAAGCCATTAGGGTCCCAACTGGAAGCATATGTGTCGAGTTGCTGAGCGTTTCATTTCACAAGACGACGACAAGGGGGCGGAAAAGCCTGAGAGAGGGAGGGGGCAAAAATATAGACAGCAGAAAAATAAACCAGAGCTGGACTGAATCTGTCTCTCACTTAGAGACACGGACCGAGACGTCCCATGCTCTGAAGAAAGCCCGCTCAGATCTGAGGGTCACGTTCCAGAGAATTAGCTTCTAACTGTGTGTGTGTGTGTGTGTGTGTGTGTGTGTGTGTGTGTGTGTGTGTGTGTGTGTGTGTGTGTGTGTGTGTGTGTGTGTGTGTGTGTGTGTGTGTGTGTGTGTGTGTGTGTGTGCTCTACATGCATGTTTTCATTTTCGGTTCACACAGCCATACCTTCTGCTCCACACAAAAAGCGCTGCTGTGCCCCTTCGGAGAAATCTCAATATTCCGCTGGGTTGGGGGGTGGGGGGGGGGGGGGGGCATCAGAGCAGGGATTAGATTTCCAAAAGCAGCCGAGCTTCATCGGGTTTTTTATTTGATGTCAGAGACGCTAAATTTTTTTATGTCTATCCCAAAACGTGACGAATATGAATGAAAGCAAGCAGGATCGTTATCCAGGAAACCTAAACAAGTCTTTACTTCTACAACAGAGCTCTTATTCTATGAGCACTTAACGGAGAGGGGGATGGGCTCACAGGGTGTGTGTGTGTGTGTGTGTGTGTGTGTGTGTGTGTGTGTGTGTGTGTGTGTGTGTGTGTGTGTGTGTGTGTGTGTGTGTGTGTGTGTGTGTGTGTGTGTGTGTGTGTGTGTGTGTGTGTGTGTGTGTGTGTGTGAGAGAGAATGACAGAGTAAAACACTGCAGACTCAGTGGAACCCAGGAAACAGCCTAATATATTTATCCAAACACATTTCTGCAGAGAGGCCCCTCAGATTCAAAGCATTCCCATTCCACTGGACCCTCGTCTCAACAAAAACAAGAAAAAAATCAGTTAGGGGTATTTCTGCACATTTATCACTCTTTCATTACGCTGACTCCTGCTGATCCGATGTTTAAATACATCCTCTTTATTAAAACACCTCATAACCACTCAGTTTACAGCTTCAACCTTAAGGCAGGTCTGGGTTTATTTGTCGCTGTGGGCAATAAAAATAACCGTCTCCAGATGACGCTGCACTTTTAGAATCGGATGTTTTTAGGATATTCTTCTCAGACACCTTACTGGTCCGCTCCCCTTCTGCTCTGCTTGTTTCAGCGCTTTTCCTCTGCCTGACAAACTGGTGCATTACCACAGAGAGTTGGGGTGAGCCGCTCTGACACTGTGTGCCATCGTATCACAGAATGAAAGATTTATTTGTTTTATCACAATAAAAATAAAAATCAGGGGGTGCTGGGGTGAATCCTGAGTGTTCCTCCCCCAATAACAACAAACTATAAAACATCGCAAGAAACTGAAAAAATGTTGCTTCCTTTTACAAATTCAAGGCACCAGTGTTAGCCGCTAAGCTATCCCAAAAAGCCACACACACACTCACACACCTGTGAATGCTCCCAACACCAGGAGGAAGACACAAGTCCAGCTCAGCAGTTTACTTAATTACCATCTCTCCAAAATAACCTTGTTTACTCAAACGGACATGATTTTGTTAACTTCTATATTTGAAGCTCAAAAAGTAAAGTTGCTTCTACCATCTTGCTGAGTTTTCAGTCTAAAGGCTCTAAAACAGCTCCCACCGTCTCTGTTCCAAGGTTGTCCATGAATATTAATTACATATCTTTATTATCAGAGCAGATTCCTCTTATTCTGCTGCCTGAACACAAACACAAACTAAAACACCACGCCTTCTCAATACAGTTCAGTGATTCTGCTTCAAATTGATTTATTTACGATCAGAGACGCTGAAATTTATGTTTACAGATTTCGGCGGTGACTTGAAAACAGGAGATCTACAGTACTTTTATTCAGACGTTTTAAATTATTTTCTGTCTTTTCATGTAAAAAATCTACCTGTGTTGTTTATAAAGATGCACCGATTCTGGTTTTGGGGCCTCATGACTCAGGCGTTATTATGCTCCCCTTAAACAATCCGAGCGCTGCATGTCTGCACTTTACGCTGCATGACTGTTATTAATGATCAATAATAAAGTCCATTTTTAACATTTTAATGTGATTTTGGGTCATTTTTGTCTGATTCTATCCTCCAGCTGAAAGCGATGTTTCTTAGTTATAATTAGCCTGATTGTTTTTTCTAATCAATTATTCTGCCAAAAACTTTACTTGGGCGATCTGTTAAGGCTGGTTTTGCATTTAGAGACAGTGACTTCACAATAAATAATCACACTTCTAAGTTACAAATTAATGCTGAATATTGGCCAAGTCGGATCGAGGCAGAACAAATGAATTCTGCATCTTATTTGCTGCTTAAATCCACCCCAGTCATACAAAAGGACTCCAGTAAAAGCTGCCCCAGGTCAACTCGGTACAGTGAATTATAAACGTCTGAATTACGCTCTCCAGCCAGGCAAACCCATCACAAAGCTCCAGAATGTTGTAACACAAAGTGAGCAGAAGCTCAGTGCTAATATCAGTCTACAGATAAAGACGCGCAGCAGTGAGCTGATGGAGGGCTGACGGGTCACGGCACCCTGACCCGCTAACGAGAGGCCAAGCGTAACCACATCCGACAACAGCAACACTCTAACGGCTCTGCTAAATGAAATACAGCAGCGTAATGCAGGCTAAGTGCTCCTGCATCACAGCAACAGCCTGGCATGAATGAGAACCGAGTGCCACACACGGCAGAAATCAGTTTTATATCTGCTGGGTTTGAGTGGCTGTGTGTGCTAAACCCTAAAAGCCGCTACTTCTGCTATTCTAATGAGTTTCACATCAAGGCTGAACGGTCTATCATTTCTGGACAAAAGTTGCGATTCCAAACAGCACGATCACAGGATCGTCAAAGCGGTTTACTGTGGCGCTCCTGACTGATCCAGGATCTGTTGTGCTAACTATTTTAACCAGCCGCAGTTTTCTCCTGTGTTACGAAGGCAGCAGCGAGCACGGGCGGAAGGAGGGACCGGTACCGGAGCACAGCTCAACTGTTCAGCCGACAGAGCTGCACAGTTAGGTTATTTTCACGTTTTGCTGGTCCTTACATGACTCTACAAAAGCCGATAATAATGGCTATGGTTGTCTCTCAGCACCGTGGGTGAGTGAGGGACAGAGAGGCTTCTCCAGCAGCTGAACGGGGTTCACCATAATAGACAATAAGTGGACTCAAAAGCCTGACTTCTCGTCTTATAAAAATTGTTTGAATTTTTCTGATGGCACACTGTAATTCAAAGTTGCATGTAAAAGTGTCACAGTTCGGTTAGAGCGGTGTTTTAGTGAGAAAAAATCTATCAGACAGCCAGCCTCGGTCAATAATGCAGAAAAAACTGCATTTTTTTCTCCATTAAATATATCTGAAAGCTATTTTTACCTTCAGTTTGCCTCCTTGCTTTATTAGAATAGAACAAGAAGATTTTTCACAAGTACGTTTAAAAAAAAAGATTAACAGGAGAAATAATTAATAGCTTTTAAAGCGAATAATGTGTTGAACCTTAATTTGACAAAAATCGTGATTTGAACTGATAGTCATAATTCGATCATTTCTTTAAATTGTTCAGCCCTATTTCACAAAGTCTCTTAGACATAGTGTTAGGGTCTCGTTCTTTACAAAGTTTGTCCCTTTTGGGCCACCGTACAATCTCCAAATCACTTAAATCAACAAATGAAGACTTCTGCTTGAACTGCTTATGTCTGATACTTGTACATGACAAAAAGAAATGAAGAAAATCTGAAAGACTGAAATAAGTTGTGTTAAAAATAAATATTTTATAAAATTTACTGGATATCCGTGGGCAAAAACATCTCAGGCAACTTTAAAGTCCAAAGTCCAAATGAGACAAATTGAAAGCCCATTCAACAGGTAATGGTCATTCTCAGAGTGAGCACTTACATGTGGACGTGTGGAGGTTGGAAGCGGCTCTGGTTGATGTTGTAATGAGTGAAGGCCTGCGTGGGGTTGGAGCTGTACTCGTCCACCGTGATGGTCACTTTGCCATGAGCCATCCTTCCGCCGTTTGGACATTAGATGCTGTTCATTCACCGGGATTCAGCAGCGAGCCGTGCGGCGGTCATCCTTCAGAGCCGCTCAAGAAGCCCAAGGATTCTCCCAGCAGCAGCAGCAGCAAGGCAGCAGCTTCTCGGCTGACCGATTCAACCACAACACGCTGCAGTCTGCACCGACATGAACACAAAGACATCAGCTGCTGCAGACCAGCCATGCAACTACTTCTGAGGGCAGAAACAATCAAAAATACCTCCTATACAGACTTATTGAACACAATTATGAAAGTTATGTGCAATCATATAAGTTATAAATGCTGAAATAAATTATTTAACAACAATTAAATCCTGAGCAGAACAAATAAACAGTGAGAATGAGAATGCATCATTTAAAACTTTGCACTGAACTTTTAAAGACTAAACCACCACCAGACGTAAGGAGCACTGCCTTCTGCATGCAAACCAGTTGATTTTGGTGCAAATGAAAATATTCAAGATGGATAAAAGCAAAAACAAAAATCACCACAGGTATGCTCTTTGCCTGACAAATTTAAATTATCCAAGTTATCCAAGAGGTTGCAGGAGATAATTCATCAGACAGCGAACATGAAACAGGTCTGCATCCCAGCGAGAAAATAAATAAATTAGACGATGACTTTATTACAGGACTGGTGCTGTAATTCCGAAATCACCAGGCACATTTGAGCTTCCATCTAAAGAGATCAGGCAGTTTATAAAAAAAATCTGCAGGACAAGAATGGTTTAGCGCGCCTCACCAATCTCTCCTGTGCGTCTGCTTGCTCCTCCTCCCTTTTGACCTCCCTAAGTAAAGTAGCTTCTGTGGGCTTGACAGACGTTTTATAACAGAGGTTCTGATTCACACCGGAGGGGCAAAAATGCCCTCGATTTTACAAATCTGTCATCTTTTTTATGTGGGATAAAAGAACCAGCAGCGCCGTTTATGGTGAGATGCGTGTAAATATGTTAACGCAAACGAGCCTGACTTCAACACAAAACTGCCACATTCTCTCCAAAAGCGTTGAAGTGTTTTCTGGGTCAGCTGGATGCTATTTTCCTGATGCATGCAGTTAATTTCAGTCAGCGAGATGTATTTATGCTTGCAGAAAACGTGTGTAAACTTGTTTCATTCAGGTTTTGATTAAAACAGATGCAGAGAATAAGGACGGGAAAAAAGTTGGAGTGAAACTGCTTTTGCTGGGTGCGCGGTGATCAAGAATCATGGTCTTCCTGGTCCTGTAAAGTAAAAGCTGCCCTGTCACTTTACCCAAACACTCACTAAGCCTGCACAGATCAGCCTTCTGTTGTTAAATATGGGTAGAATCGGTGTGTGTGTGTGTGTGTGTGTGTGTGTGTGTGTGTGTGTGTGTGTGTGTGTGTGTGTGTGTGTGTGTGTGTGTGTGTGTGTGTGCGCGCCTTATGGCTACAGTAGCTACTAGCTCTCTAGCTTAGCCTGCTAAACCTGCGCTGCCGATAGGTTTTCATCGTGCACGCTGTAGCTCCCCGGTGAGCTCACTCGTACAGCCGCGCTAAGGCGCACCCGCACCGGCAGAGGGACAGACACGGATCCCGGTAGCTAACTTCACCAGGCGAAATCAATCCGGTGAGCAAAGGGGGGGTGAAGGCGGATAAATCGACCCGTTCTCGTGCATTTCTACACGAAGCGTGCTACGAGCCGCTTGCAGCTGTACACAAAAAGAAAAGGTCCGCTCAACCCTGAACTCTGCTCCGTCTATTTAACATAAAGCCCCCGGAGGTGGTCAGTGTCAAAGGACCGCCTCGGTAACCTCTTGCTCTTCCTCGTAAATGGCAAGCCACCTTTTAACCGACGGCTTTGTGTCAGGAATTCCTCTCTTCCCCTCCTCGTCTCCCCTCCCTCCCGTTTCGGCTTTCAAAGCAAAGCGGAAAGGTTGCTCTACCTTCGTTATGTAGGGTTTTCCTCCTGCGTGCTGTATCTGGCCGGAGAACTAGAGTCGGGTCGGGGTCGCCCTCTTTACGCGGCGGAGGCAGCAGTGGCGGAGGGACTGGGGTCCATGCGGCAGCGGCAGAAGCAGCAGAGCGGGGTGATTCCTAAAAGAGACCGCCCGGGTGTTGCGGCAGTCTGGACGAGCAGGGCAGAACCTTCGACCCGGCGGGACCTCGGCTGGCTCCTGTGGAAAGAAACCAGGGAAGGAGGAGGAGAGCGAGTGGTAGCGAGCCAGAGAGGAAGGCGAGAGACACTGACAGAGAAAAGGGGGAGAGAGGGAGCAGCCTCGGTCTGTCGGAGGGGGAGCCGGAGTGCAGTGAATCGGAGCTGCCACTGGGGTCAGAGAGCAGAGAGGAGCAAGGGCGAGCACACGCGCGGGCGGGAGGGAGGAGAAGGAGGGGGGAGGATGAGGGCGCTCGCGCGTCTTGCTTCTCGCCGCATTGAGAAGTTACGAAAGCTGTACTTCGAAAGCTGTCCTTCCTGATTGGATTTACACAGTAGCAAAGCATGATGATTGGCAAAATGCATCCTATTTTAATTACATGGCCAAGGACTATATAAAAATGTATTTTCTTCTTCTTCCACCTGGAGCATGCAAATATTAAAAAAAATCTTTAAAAACGTGCTAACTGGCTTTGTTTTAAAAAGTGAATAACATCCATAACAATGTGTGACATAACTGCATTTGTACTATATGTGTAATAGAAACATTTTTGGTAAAATGGTAAATGTCAAACGTATATAGTGCCTTCCAAGGTCCTACAAACTGCCAAGACAAGTTACAACACACACACACACACACACACACACACACACACACACACACACACACACACACACACACACACACACGTTCAGTTAGTGGGGATAAACTAGCTGCCCTGGAGCGCACTAGGGCCTTTTTACTGTTTGTAAACAATATGACGTCAGCGAGAATGCGCGCGCAGCTTGGCAACAGAGAATGGTGTTGTGTCAGGCTTTATCAAGCTACGCTGCGGGGTTATCACCGGCAAATTTTGAATGTTATATTATTAAACTCACTTTAATGAATGGCAACAGTCTCCTGGATCCCTGTGGCATTACGGAATGGGTGGAAGATGTAGGTGCGTGGCCAGATATCACCCAGTGGCCCGATATATATACGTTTTTAGTGGAGATGCCCAGTAAGTACACATGTGAGAAGCTACGGGCATACAAATCGTTAGATGCATACAACTATGTTGTCTGTGGCCACGTACAGAAAGTTAAACATCACGACATAGACTCTGAGTTTTGCGTCTTGAAGGCAGAAGTCCTTCCTAGTCAAAGACAAGGACACAAGACTGCTATGTACGAGGCTTGGGTCATAGTAAACAAACCAGAGAACTACGTCTTCACAGTCAACTGTACCTGCATGGCAGGGTGAGTATAGCATAGGTTTCTTTTTTTAGCGTGCTCAGAGTACAATCGTGTTAATTTTAGAGAAATACAGTTTATACTAATATGCAGTGGGAAAATACAGATGAATTAGAATGAAATGTTAATTTGAAGCATGAAATAAAGCGTATAAATTTATATGTAACCTTAGTACATAATTACCTTACCTGATATAAAATGGGCGCTACAAAATCCAGCATTTCGGATCGTGTTTTCCATCCAGTTTTCATCAGCCCTTTTGATGGCCTGCAGCCACAGACGCCTCCGATTTTGTTGAAATGGATGTGCTCCTTTCGGAATTCTGTAAAGTTTCACTCCACTGCTTGAAGAGAAGCGATTCTGGCATCCATACACGCAACAACCCGACATTTTTATGTGCTCAGAACTTCAAAACAAACGGTTTAAAACGCTGTTTTAGTATCGAGTGTGAATGAGGAAGCCTTCACTCTTGTTGCCAGGCTGCGCGCGCAACTTTTGATGACGTAGGTAGAGGGTCTATTGGGAGCCTGTCTCCTCCGCTTCCAGTCAGCTCATGGGTCCCCGGAAAAACGGAAAAAATGAATGCAAGTCAACGGGGCTAAAAGAGCTATTTTTGAATCTGCTTTGCCTTACGTTCTGGATCACACATATGTTGTACTGCAATTGAAATGAAAAGTAATGACGGGTGTTTTGCATCGACATATATACTGGACAATTCATTTCCATAAGTTCCAATAACACGTTTTTGAGGCTAAATGGGAGGTGGCCACCACCGCCGTTTTGACCATGTCACAGGTTCCGTCAAGCCCAGACAATTCCACAAAAGGGAAGAGAGGTGGAGCTGAGGGTGGGGCTGTAAGGCTGGGATCAACTGACGACACCCGGTCGAACAAGCTACAAGCTAACCTGAAGCTAACCCAAAGCTAACGCGGAGGTGGGAGCTAAGCTAACGGAGGTAGCAACCTAGCTACAACCGGAGTTAACTGTGCACAACACCAGAGCTTCTGAGTCAGAGATACGCCGGGCTGACCGCTGGGTAAAACGGGGTAGAACACAGATGTCTCCCGAAAGCTGCTGAAAGCCGGCAGCCCGCGCAGCAGACAGAAGCCGCGATCAGACAGAGATGTGCCAAGCTGCGGGGAGGGGAGAACCACAAGCTGGCCGGCAGCCCGCGCAGCAGACAGAAGCCGCAATCAGACAGAGATGCACCGAGCTGCGGGGAGCACCAGCCGGCAGCCCGCGCAGCAGACAGAAGCCGCGATCAGACAGAGATGCACCGAGCTGCGGGGAGCACCAGCCGGCAGCCAGCGCAGCAGACAGAAGCTGCGATCAGACAGAGATGCACCGAGCTGCGGGGAGCACCAGCCGGCAGCCCGCGCAGCAGACAGAAGCCGCGATCAGACAGAGATGCGCCGAGCTGCGGGGAGAACCAGCCGGCAGCCCGCGCAGCAGACAGAAGCCGCGATCAGACAGAGATGCGCCGAGCTGCGGGGAGAACCAGCCGGCAGCCCGCGCAGGAGACAGAAGCCACGATCAGACAGAGATGCGCCGAGCTGCGGGGAGAACCAGCCGGCAGCCCGCGCAGCAGACAGAAGCCGCGATCAGACAGAGATGCGCCGAGCTGCGGGGAGAACCAGCCGGCAGCCCGCGCAGCAGACAGAAGCCGCGATCAGACAGAGATGCGCCGAGCTGCGGGGAGAACCAGCCGGCAGCCCGCGCAGGAGACAGAAGCCGCGATCAGACAGAGATGCGCCGAGCTGCGGGGAGAACCAGCCGGCAGCCCGCGCAGCAGACAGAAGCCGCGATCAGACAGAGATGCACCGAGCTGCGGGAAGAACCAGCCGGCAGCCCATGCAGCAGACAGAAGCCGCGATCAGACAGAGATGTGCCGAGCTGCGGGGAGAACCAGCCGGCAGTCCGCGCAGCCAGAGGCGGAGCTGGCCTAAATGGCGCCCTGTGCGAGATCCCCCTGTGACCCCCCCCCCCCCCCACACACACACACACACACACACACACACAATTACACCTACAACTTTGTTTCAAACTGTGTGGAGTGTATTATATATAACAACGTTTGCTAACTGAATACAACATCCAGCTCCTGGCCACCTTCTCACCACTTGTCAAAGTTCTACTGAAATAGTGATGACAACACCTGCCATCGCCTTCATTCCTGGGAAATATGAAAGTCCTGTACACCTTTGATTGTGTTTTGTGATGAGTGGTTACCCCCTCCCACCGTCTCCCTATGATATGTCAGGTGTCGTGTGTAAAAGTGGGCATTGATGTATAAACGGTTGGGGGCCACGCTGTTTTAGTTCTCTACGTACTGTATAGTTTCATAATTAGTTACAGAAATAATAGTTTGAATAGTAAATAAAAATCAATAAAATTGAAAGAATAGTGACATTGCAAAAAGTACTATAATCTACCCAGTGAGGTTGCACTGCAAAACTAAGCCAAGTCAAATGAAGTATTTTTTATTTTTATAAAGAACACTTTAAATAATGATAATTTGAACATCTCGTCTCTGATTGGCTAACAGCAACACAACTCTTCCACTGCCTCTCTTCCCGCTTCTTTCTTGTATAAAAAAATCCAATGTTCATGCGTTATTGCCTCAAGTTAATACAAGCCCAAATGCATCCCCACATGTTGTGGAATTGCTAATGATTAGCTTCTATTAGCTAAGATACGCCCTGCTCTCTCCTGGTTTCAAAATCAGTACAGATTCCTGTGGTTGCAAGTCAAGGTGGGCGAGCCATGAATACTAATGTTTTCCTGCATAAGACAATCCATGCCGGCAAATCAGCGTAATGGGCTCGACACACGGGAGGCGACAAACGACCACGATAAGCGAAATTTGACGCTGTCGCTTTTATTACCTGACACACGGGAGGCGATCCGCGGCAGCGGCCAGCGGCAAAGCCGTCTACGCGTTCTGTTCCAT